ATTTTGGCGCACCCCTCACACGGTTCGTGGCCCCATTGGGAATTCCCCTTGCTTCGTCCCACCTGCCCTGCGGTTCTCACACTTGCGTATGGTTGGGTCCTTCGCCAAGATAATTTCCCAACCATCCTGTGGTGTTAGGCCCTCGTTTTGAAGAGACGGTGCCCCGCGTTCCTTCCTTCCCGCCCTCCTCCCCCTCCTCCTCCCTTCTCCCTGCGCTTCACCCGCCCAGTACAACGCTTCGTGGCCACATAGGGAGCTCCACCGAAGGCCCCAGTGGCAGGGTTCGCATGGCGGCCCCGCCCCATTTTGGCGCACCCCTCACACGGGTTCGTGGCCCCATAGGGAGCTCCACCGAAGGCCCCAGTGGCAGGGTTCGCATGGCGGCCCCGCCCCATTTTGGCGCACCCCTCACACGGCTCGTGGCCCCATAGGGAGCTCCACCGAAGGCCCCAGTGGCAGGGTCCGCATGGCGGCCCCGCCCCCCATTTTGGCGTACCCTCACACGTGTCGTGGCCCCACAGGGAGCTCCACCGAACGCCCAGTGGCAGGGTTCGCATGGCGGCCCCGCCCCATTTTGGCGCACCCCTCACACGTTCGTGGCCCCATAGGGAGCTCCACCGAAGGCCCCAGTGGCAGGGTTCGCATGGCGGCCCCGCCCCATTTTGGCGCACCCCTCACACGGTTCGCAGCCCCATATGGAGCTCCACCGAAGGCCCCAGTGGCAGGATTCGCATGGCGGCCCCGCCCCATTTTGGCGCACCCCTCACACGGTTCGTGGCCCAATTGGGAATTCCCCTTGCTTCGTCCCACCTGCCCTGCGGTTCTCACACTTGCGTATGGTTGGGTCCTTCGCCAGGATAATTTCCCAACCATCCTGTGGTGTTAGGCCCTCGTTTTGAAGAGACGGTGCCCCGCGTTCCTTCCTTCCCGCCCTCCTCCCCCTCCTCCTCCCTCCTCCCTGCGCTTCACCCGCCCAGTACAACGCCTCGTGGCCACATAGGGAGCTCAACCGAAGGCAGGGTTCGCATGGCAGCCCCGCACCTTTTTGGCGCACCACTCACGCGGGTCGTGGCCCCATAGGGAGCTCCACCGAACGCCCCAGTGGCAGGGTTTGCATGGCGGTCCCGCCCCATTTTGGCGCACCCCTCACATGGTTCGTGGCCCCATAGGGAGCTCCACCGAAGGCCCCAGTGGCAGGGTTCGCATGGCGGCCCCGCCCCATTTTGGCGCACCCCTCACACGGCTCGTGGCCCCATAAGGAGCTCCACCGAAGGCCCCACTGGCAGGGTTCGCATGGCGGCCCCGCCCCATTTTGGCGTACCCCTCACACGATTCGTGGCCCCATAGGGAGCTCCACCGAACGCCCCAGCGGCAGGGTTCGCATGGCGGCCCCGCCCCATTTTGGCGCACCCCTCACACGGTTCGTGGCCCCATAGGGAGCTCCACCGAAGGCCCCAGTTGCAAGGTTCGCATGGCGGCCCCGCCCCATTTTGGCGCACCCCTCACGCGGGCCGTGGCCCCATAGGGAGCCCCAACGAAGGCCCCAGTGGCAGGGTTCGCATGGCGGCCCCGCCCCATGTTGGCGCATCCCTCACACGGTTCGTGGCCCCATGAGGAGTTCCCCTTCCTTCGCCCCACCTGCCCTGCGGTTCTCACACTTGCGTATGGTTGGGCCCTTCGCCAAGATAACTTGTTTTGCGTGCGACTCTCGATCAACACACCAAGTCCCGACACCGCATCATCTCGCTGATCATTTCGGAAGCAAGCCTCTGTGACAGGCCCAACTCCGATTCTAGCCCCCCAAACCACATTTCTAGCCTCCGCAGACCTAAACGCGTGCTTAGAATTTCTAAGCCAGCCATAAGCTCGCCATTGGACCTGGACTTAGGAAAGATGCGCTCACAAATGTGAGAATGAGCTGCTTCACGCACGCAGCAATTGACATGATTATGAGCACGTCTATAAGCTTTAACAGTGGTCCGTTATTGCCAAAATGAAAGCGGTGGAGCTGTTGGCGAATCCGCCAACGATAGTACCATATTTTGCGTGTGACATGTTCCTTGACCCAGTAGAGATACACATACGCCCTGTGGCCCATGTGTTGGAGACTCTGGCGCACACTCAATGGCAATCGCGATCTGAACTTTAGCAGCAGAAAGCGCCTGCTTGTTCGGCTGCTTCCGATAAGCTGTTCTGGAGTCATCCCATTGATGTCCCGCAAATGCAGATTGGCGCCATAATCTACGAGCAATGATCCAATATTTGTATGACCACCTGCTAAAGCTAGCATCAAAGGTGTTCTATTATTTGGCGTCAAACGCACGTCTGGATTCGCTCTCGCTGCCAACATGAATCGCGCAACCGTTGGCATATTGAATTGGGCGGCTCTGCACAACACGGTCGGAACTCGGCTCGCAAGGTACTGCGTGTCAAAGCTAGCTAAACTGTCGGTAGTCACCCTACGGCCGCACCACGTCCCCAAAGTGTGAGCGATTGCAGA